CTGCTACTCCCAACTCGGGACTTGCCAAACGGGTTTTCAGTAATTCCAGTTTCCTGGATTTATTACGCTGAAGCTCCCATTCGAGATAGTGTGACCAAAATTACAGATATCTCGATCCAACTGATAATCTTAACATTAACCGATACAGATCTAGTTTTTTTAAAATTGTTATCTGTGGGATTCAAACTCTAGACCTGCCTTCTGGGGGTGCGACAACTTTACCACTTCACTAAGTCGCCACACCCTAAATTTTATAATTTTTATTATAAATTGCTATAAATTTTTGTTATAAAATTTACATATTACTTTAATAATTTTAAAGATATAATAAGTTAGTTTGTATTAGAATTATTATAATTTTATTATAAGTTGCTATAAAATATTTGCTACAGAATTTTTTATTTTAGTATAATTAATTTTGTATTGGAAATATTCTAATTCTAACCCTAACTCTAACCCTAATCCTGCAATATAAACAACTGTAACAAATCTATAACATATCTAACAACTAATCAAATTTTATTTAGATGGCTTGTATAAGTCTTATATATAGAATTTTTTAGCCAATAAAATTTGTTTATTTGAGCTTAAATTTGATTGGCTAATACTATATCTCTTACATAATTCATATATAAAAATTATATATATATATAACTTTAATAAAAAGATATAAGCAAAAATTAGCTAATCAAATTCTATTATATATAAATAATTTTTAGCCAATTAGATTTAAGCAATGTCTCTAAAATTTGAGCCCTTTTGGTATATAACTCTAACATTAGCATGGACTCTAACTCTAATCCAAATGAATTTAATGATTTTTGGTAATATCATATGCTAGTAAAATTTTTTAGCAATACTAAAAAAGATCTAATAGCAAGTCTTGTTTTAATGTAATATAACACAATTAGTAAGATTAAAACAAAAAATTCACTTTTTTAAAAATTATTTATATTTTTAACAAAAAAATTTCTTTGAATAATTTTACTATAGAACTGCATAACCCTAACTTTGTTGTAGACTCTAACCTTTATTTATACAAGTTTAAAGATTTTTTAATGTGCTATAAACAATATTATGTAACAGTAAAATTTTGATAGTGATCCTGGTAAAGATACCAATAACTCTAGCAGATCCACAAAAATTTTTCCACTTGTGAATTTTGGCCAATCAAATTTCAAGATTAGGTATAACAAAAACAAGTAAAGTGAAATAATTTTTACAAATAAACTAAAATAACTCAAAATTTTAATTAAAAAACCACTTTCTGCAGCCTAATTAAAAATATTCTTTGTAAAATTTTACTAATAGCAATAACTCTAACTCTAATTCTAACTTTATACTGTTCTTACTCTAACTCTAATTATAATGCAGTTTTATAAATACACAGAGAGAAAAAATTTTTGTAGATGTGCTATCTAAAATACATGCCAATTATCATCTATATCACATAATGCTTTTGATGTTCTCCAAATATAGCAAGAATAAGCAAACAAAAATTAATTCCCTTCAATCTTTGTTTGTCTGCATATCATAGATCAATTTCAATAAAGTTTAAGATTAGATGTTAAACATATTATTTATTAAATATAATCTTACTCATGATCTGCAACATTTTCTTTTAAGTTAAAACAGAAAGGATTTTTATTAAAAAATTTTATATTATTGTTATCTTGATCTTAATCTTGTTTTTATTTATATCATAAGCAGGCAACATTGCATTGTGCAAGTCTGATCTGATCTAATTTGATCTAGAGCATGCTCCCCAAAAATTTTTATCATATTTGGGTTGTATTTATAAAATTCAATAAGTTAAATCGACTTTTAATTCCATAATTCGATGTATGCATTGCTATAAAACTTTATTTTGAATTTGCATACTAAAAATATATTTACAATAGTAAACTTCATATTCATTGCTCATGTGTATTATTAATTTTTTTTTTTTTTGGTGTTAAGGTGAGGCCTTGCTCATAACTATTTATTATTTAGTTTTATTTATTTATACTATTTTAGATAAGTATAACGAAAAGTTGGTAATATAAATATTTAAATAAGCTACAAACTATAACTTCAAATTATAGCTAAAGTTAATTATTTTAAGCTATAGCTAAAGCTAATAACTTCAAGCTATAGCCAAAGCTAATAATTTCAAGCTAAAGCTTCAAGCTATAGCCAAAGCTAATAACTTCAAGCTAAAGCCTCAAGCTATACTAAAGCTATAATTTTAAGCCATGGCTAAAGTTATCTTTTCTCTGGCTTAAATTATAGTTTAAAGCCATGGCTTTAATTATAGCTTAGGCTATTTATTCAGCTAGTTTTATTAAGCTTAGCTTAAATTTATAGCTTAAGCTGGCTTCAAGTAAAGCTAATTACATCCCTAGATAGTTATGGTAGAAAAATGTCATTGTCTCGTGACTTCCGACCAGATAATTCAAATTACGAATTAAACGTTTAAAAAAAACTAATAGTTTTCTAAATGTACGTCTGATTATTATGTACTTAAAGAACTATTAGTCTTTTACACGTTATACGTAATTTGAATTATCCGGTCGGTGATCATTAGACAGCGACATTTTCCTGCCATGACTAACCTACTTGTCAAAAACCTAATGTTATGGGAGTTTGAATGCTCGACTCGACTCATTCAACTCAGCTAGAGTCTAGTCGATCCGACTCATGTCATGCCTATCAGAATTGAAGTTTTAATTATATGAGTCATAAAAATAACTGTTATTTAATTTTTGTTTCAATTTATTAACACTTTATTTATTTTTTATTTATTTTTTAGGATTTATTACATAATCAAGAAGAATAAATTGTTAATGTAAAACCCGAGATACAGCAAATCATCGCCAATAAACTTATAATTAAAGTTGATAGTATCGGATCGAAGAAGGTAAAACTTAATAGTTATCAACTTTATCAAAAGATTATCAAGCCTCGGAAAATTGCATTACATCTAGAGATGGTTTTCATGCGCATTTTATCCCATCTAAATTTTATATAGGAAAATTAAGGGGAAATTGTCCAAAATTGAAAATAATTACAGAAGGGCCCAAAATGAAAATAATCACTAATAAAAACACAAAATCTGAAAATTATTACAAATAGGCCCAAATCTTACAAAGCCAATCTAAACACTACAGTAATTGCCTTTCGTGGTTAAATAAATATTTAAAAATATAATTTTTATATCAAACTGGAATACAAATTTATTTAAATGTTCTATAGAAGTTGGGTAAGTCGGATCATGAGAAATCGATTTTACTATATGAATGTAACCATTCTTACGCTTGTTAGCTGAAATAGCAAATGGGCATGGACTGTCTTCATTCTGGGACAAACAACAAATAACTTGCTTGGCTTATAGTTTTAAACTTGTAAGGCGAAGAATATACGAAGGAATAGATGTTCAAGGCCGAACGAACATTTTCCCTACTAGAAAAGTCATGCCGATCTATAATTTTGTATCTGACATTATGTTAGATATTTGGTTATATTAAGAGACATCTTACGCGCTTAATAATTAACTATAATTAACTATATACTATAATTGAGTCATTGAATCAAGGGATTAAATAATGGGCCTTAAGCGCAGAATTATTTGGCCCTTATTTGTATAATTTTCAAATATCTGGCCTTTATCGGCAATTATTTTGGGCCAATATCTGTATTATTTTCGATTTTTGGCTTTATTCGCAATTACCAAATATTAAAGTATAAATAATTTAGGCCGGAGAGTGCATTGTCGGGCGGAATTAAGGAATATAGATGCAAAAGCTCGAAAAATTCCGAAAAGAAAATAAATTCCAAAAATTATATCATGCACTAATTACATCATTTTTTGTTAGCAAAAATTTGATTCGATTAACTTTAGCCATAACGACAGAATATTTCTAAAATATTGAAAGAATAATAAAAAATCTGATAAATAGAGACATGCTACTCATGCTTTGAAATGGATATTGCAACACTTATTAGTACATGATAACCTAAACACAAAAGATCCTATATGTAATTTAATGTTAATAACCTGCATATTAGATATCTTTATTTTATAAAAAATTAGTCATTAATTTTAGAATTGATGAAATCTTGGAAAGATCGAACGAAATCACAGAAATTTGTGACACATTACTCCAATGATATTGATTATTTGACGGACTATACCGGCGACAAAAAATTAAATCAGTACTGTATGAAAAATTGGGAATATCTTGTATTATGGAATGGTTTTTGTCAAAAAAAAAAAACAATAATAAGATGTTGATTTTTTATTTTTTTATATTTTATTTTTTACAGAATAGTCAATACAAACGAACAAAATGGACTGATAAAGCGATAGATACTAAAAAAAGACAAAAAATTAAAAAAAAATAAAAAAATAAAAAATAAAAAATACTACGATTTCAATAGAACGTTATAAATTTGTAATATTTTTTTCAAGTCGATGATAGAACGTGCTTAATTTGATAAAAAAAGACTTATCATGGTGAAACTCAACGAGAGAGTGCACTAAAACCGACGATGGATCCATCAAAATTTGAGAAAGAATGTAATGTATGTAACATTACTAAAGAAGCGACCCACAATACCGACTGAAAATAAACGCGATGAAAACGATAAAAAAAATAACAAAATAAAACCTAAATTCAAAAAAAGAAGTCAAAAATAATGAAAAGAAGTCAGTACATTCGATAATAAGTCAAATAAAAACAAAAAAATACCGAAAATATAAAGGTGCTATAAGAAACATCAAGGAAAAAGAAATTACGTTGCTATAAACGCGAACACAAAAATAAGGAGCCAACAATCTGACGAAAAAAAACTCATTGAAAACCCTTAAAAGAAAAAAATTTAAAAAAGCAGCTGATGATTCAATTGGCTGACGATATATGATTACGTCTTAACACCTCGAAAAAGCAGTTAATATAATTGCTGAAAATTACTACTTTGAGTCATTGGCACCATAGGAAGTGGCTGGCATAATAGATTTTCTAATTGGTTTTTTCAGTCTGTGTCTCAATGTAAGTTGTGTATGCGCTGTTATTAAGATCCGTAAATTCCAAGAAATTTTGGTTGCAGATTCCGAATATAGGGATATGATGTCGTTCAGGAGAAAAATAATCGTCAAAGGGTGCAAAATAACGGTCAGAAGGCGATTCTACGAGAGCCACTGATTCTTCAGTGAAAGGATCGAAATAGGATGCAAAATAATTGTCAGAAGGCGATACTACGAGAGCCATTGATTTTTCAGTGAATTGATCGAAATCGGGTGTAGTTTCATCCTTAGGAGCAGTAGATGCTAATCCATCCGTAATATGATCAATGGATTCATACGATTGCGTAAACGATATTGACTCTTCGGTAATATCATTTTGAGTTACTAATCCTGTGTAACGTGAGTTAAAATATTGTATAAACTTCATCAACACTTGAATCAAATGAGACGCAGTCTTACCATGATTCATTAATTTTAATTCTGATTGATCGTTTTGAGTCACTATTGGTAGGGGCCGTTGCACATATGTGGTCTGTTCGTTCGGAAAATTCGATGCATTAATAAAATCTTTTTTTCCTAGATTAATAAATATAGATGTAGTATTTAATCGCATCATTTCTGCTCGTCTTTCATAAGCTCTACGAACTTCTTTAGCCACATTTTCGTAGTTTTGTTTTGCAACTGAAGGATTAAATTTATTTTCGTTTTTATAAAGTATAAAACTGCTTGGTGATCTCCGCGTACTATTTTTTTTAGACATGTTTACAATCTAACATTAGGACAAAATGTGGCAATTTGATTTTGAGAACAAAAGTTGGACGCTTAAATAAGTTTTTGAGCACATAAATTTTTATTTATTTTGCTCAAACTCAAGTTAAAATGGACTTTTTGGTAGTGAATAAGGTGTAAAATAAACACTATTGGCTCTAAGCGAAGAAATATATAGCATATATAGCCTGATTTAAACAAGCAGTGTAAGTTGTGTGTTACAATATATATCTGTATAAATGGTTTTATAGAGATACTTTTAGAACAAGTAAAAAAAATAATAATAATATGGCATATACCTATGATCACAGCTAGGTGTGAAAATCGTTCTCTAAATTTTTTATCACCTAATTAGGAACATTAAGCTTAATAACCTCAATTTAGCTATGATATCTGTATCAGTGCTAAAGATCGTTACATACACTTTTTGGGCTGCATGCATATCTTGTCGTTATTGATGGATTAAAATTCGGATATCCAACTAATTAGGTAGTTGCATGACGTAGTCGCGCTAAAACCATTAACCCTAGCTGCCGCACCAACTTTGTCAAGGAAGGTTCTCGATTTTGATTGACTAATAGCGAACATCAAAAAATTTAGGTCGGAATTACTCAAACTTTACTAATTAAATTACCATCGTTATTAAGTTAAAATTTTTCCTGGAGCAATTTTACCACAATTCTGGTCTATTTACCAAAAATTTCTATTTTGAAATGAAAAATTAAAAGTTAATTACACCTGAAATTATGTAAAAAATTTTGTAGATCACGGCGTTAGCCAATCAAAATCGAGAATCTGCTGTGATAAACCGGCGCGGTGCTTTAATGCTAAAGCATAGTTTTTATTCAGTGTTTCGGCAACTTGGATTATGATTTTATCACATGGCACAAAATCATTGGTTATTTGATGAGAATTATTAGGAAGCGTTATGGGGTTAGATTTGGCTTGATACAGTGAATGTAACCGGGTAAGAGAGTTAAGCGAGATGCAATATATAATTCTATACATAAGACAAGACACTGATAAAAAATCGCAACATAGCATAGCTTTTATAAAATAAATATAATCTTCGAGAATATTTCTAAAAATACCCATAGGATATGGCACCCGGTATAAAAAAAAATATAGCCCTATATAGTTATTATAAGGGTTAGGATGAATTAAAGTTGTTTTTACATGTAAAATTAGGCGCCGAACACTATTATTTAAGAGCATTACATTGGTTTTCTTATTAAAATTCTGAGATGTTACCAAATTTTGTTTTTTTTTTCTTACTATAACATCGTGTACAAATAGAATTTTTTAATCTTTAAATTGGTATATTCAATATATTTTACAAGTTTTTCTTTTGTTTAATTAATTTGTTTATAAAAAATTAACTTAACAGATTATATGGGGTGTTATCAATTAAAAAGCTTTTTTTAAAAAATTGAGTTTTTTCGATTTCTAATAGATATATATTTGGCAAAAAGATTTACCAAATCACAAGACCAAATAATATAAGGTTTTACTAATTTACCCCCACTCTCTGATTGGGCGGCGATCTCCCTATTTTTGATTGGACAAATTTGTATATCATCACAGATCCTGTGGCG